TCTAATTAAAAATGTAAACAAATGAACTCATCTTGATAATAGCTACAAGTATGGTGGCTTCTCATGGAAGCCACTTGCTTTTCTTGAAATATGTGTCAAATTGGGAAAAAAATACAAATAGAATAAACATTTTATTAAGGGTAAAATAGACAATTTGTTATTAAATTTGACCATTTTTGTAAGAATTATAAGAAGAAGACATTTTTCAATTGACACTCCTAAAATTGGACATTTTTGAAAATATCTCAAAAAATTATGGAAATTTAGAAACTGACAGTTCTATGGTCCCTTTAAAACACCTTGCCAATTATATCATGCCACGTATGTGACCTACTTGTTTGAAAATTGATGATTATAGAGACAACCCAGGCTTTTATAGAGACTGATTGATCAGACAGGGTGTTGATATACATTGAATTCAAGAAAATGATTGGTGCTCATGAGACCCCATATTTTTTCAATTTTTCACAATCAAGTCCATGGAATTGTAGTTTCTTGCCATTCCAATGTTGTAGTGAATAATATGTTGGTATTTTGAATTATTTTAGTAAGAATTTTTGTAACATGTTTGTGGGTTGATGATTAAGTTCACAAATTATATCAAAATTTACTTGGCAATGCTTCTTTCTGATTTATAGTTTTGTTAAAAGTCTTGATTGACATATTGATAATGAACTTGTACTTTGAATATAATCAAACTCCAATAATTGAACTCTAATATTTCGTTTTTAAGTTCTTGGTGATTTGTCTAGTTTACTTACCATGGAGAAGATCTTTGTCACTTTGTCAAATTAAAGATCCCAACAACCTAAAAGGTCACGAATGGTGAATGACTTATGGTATTGTTATGCAACAAATTGAAGANATCTTTGTCACTTTGACAAATTAAAGATCCCAATAACCTAAAAGGTCACGAATGGTGAATGACTTATGGTATTGTTATGCAACAAATTGAAGAACCCTAAAATATTTCAAAGATAAGAACTACTTTAAATAACAACTTGTTAGCAAATGGAAGGAAGATCGAGACAAATCTCTCCTTCTCGAGCGAGTAGTGAGGACAACCATGTTGAATATAGTTCACTTTTAAAAGTACCTTATAAAGAACTAGTGTACATGTAATTATAAACTTATGAGATAATAACATATGAGATGTAAATATAAGTGTTACAATGCGATAGTGGCATGTGGTTTTAGGTAAGCATCGTTGTCTAGGGTACATCACGAGAATTGAAAGTTTATTATCTACACGAAGTACTTTCTTTGTAAATCATAGAATTCTACCCTAAATATGAAAAATTGTTTTCACATTTCTTTTTTTCAAAATTTTCGCTTTCTTCAATCTTTTTGTCTCTATTCATGTTTCTATACAAATTTGTTTATTCTCAAATTTAAAAATTTAAATTCAAGTAGGATTCTGTAGCACATCATGAACACTGAGCTATTGAGTGATAAACAATTTAAACAAAACGATTAACTTTATATAGGGACATATAAGAGAAGTTTGTGAAGATAGTCTCGATCTATACGGATTTTCCCAAGAAATTATGCTCAAATTGAAGGACCTTTCGAAGGGTCAAAATAATTTTCTTGGGCAAGTGGAAAACCTTTAAAAAAAGGAAAAAAAGAAAGAAAGAAAAAAGGATAGCTGCACTCCAATTTGTAATAATAGTTCCACTAGAAGGCTAGGATAAAAGCACCGTGAGCCACAAATGAAAGTTGGCCTAAAAGTACAAGTGGGCCAGGGCTCGGCCCAGATAATGTGATGAAAAAGTTTTGGATGTCAAATCAATTTATGATTAGGGCACGCCTTTGGTCTCCACAAAAGTGGGGCCCTCTTGATAGTTGCATCGATATCATACCTCATAATTGATTGTGCTCAAGGAGGACATTAATAATTGGAAAAGCCAATTTCCTTTTCCTTTTAATTTAATTTTAATAAGAAGTTATTACATTACACCTAAGCCTATAAAAAATTATGAGCGTGATTGAGAGATATTTGTTGAATAAAAAAGTATTTTTTTTTAAATGAGTGATTAAAAAGTAAAAAAAAAATTATAAATATAGTGATTAAAATTAATTTTGAAAATTTTCAAAAAATCATTCACAAACAAACTCTCGTAAAAATTTAAAATAGAAAGTAACTTCTAAAAGTCTAGAAAAAA